GTGTGTGTGTTGTGCCTACAAGAAGATGCAGTAGGGGTCTTGGGGGAGTCGGGGCGGGGTGGGGTGGGGAGGATGCAGGAGGAGCAAGATGCCTGCTGGTCCTGCTCCCGTGCTGTGAGGTGGGGGCAAATGTCAGCCTCCCTGGACTTCACTATGAGACGGGCCCCCAGGCCCAGGCCTCTTCTCTTACACCCTGCAGAGTTCCAGGCAGTCCCCGGCTTACTTGAGACATCGGTTCCTAAGTGCATCTTTAAGTTGAGTTATGGGGTGGGGGTGGAGTTGGAACAGGTGCACACAGTTCTCACTTGAGGAAGGAGCACTGGTGGAGGATTCTGTGGGGTTTTCAGTGCAAGAAGTGATTTAAAAGCTGCCTGTGTGAGGAGATTGGGGTGAAGAACTTGCGGCCAAGTGGTCCACTTGCTTCCAAGGGAGGGCAAATCTGAAAATACCGAAGGCGGGTTCCAGTTGCCCATAAATCTGACATTAAACTTACTGTGCTGTTCTCTCTTTTGGGGGACAAGGGGGTGGCATAGTGGGTTACATTCAGAACTGCAAGGTCAGTAGTTCAAAGCCACTCGCCACTCCAAGGGAGGAAGATGAGGTTCTCTGCTCCTGTACTTCACAGGGGCTCGACTGCTCGGTCCTGTCGGGTCACCGTGACTTGGAATCAACTCGAGGACGGGTGTTTTTTTATTTTGTTTTTAAAATCCCACCACTTCCCTCTGAAGTCCTGGGCCACCTTCGAAAGTGGATCAGTGACTCTGTCTAACTCCCTTGTTAACTGGCTTGGGAGATCCCCTGAATTTGGGGGATCTTCAAGCACAGTGGTGACAGACACGATGGGACTAAGGTTACAATGGGCCGGTCTTAACACCAGAGGTTCACCTGAGCAAAGGAGGAGGCCATCGCTGGGTTTCTATTTCTTCTTCTGCAGAGGGCCTAGACCACAAGGAGGTGCCCCTGTGTAAAAAGTCAACAAGAGGAGACTCAACCCACCATCAATGCTGACTCCTGGCGGCCCCTGTGGGTTTCTGAGACTGTAACTCTTCAAGGGAGTGGAAAGCCTCCTCTTTTCCCCTCAGAGTGCCTGATGGTTTCAAACTGCTGACCTTGTGGTTAGCAGCCCAATGCATAACCACCATGCCACCAGGGCTCCGAGTGGGCTTCATAAAGTTCCTGGGGAAATTCTATTGGTTCTCATTTCTATTTTTTCCATGAACTTTTTGAAGTCTCCTGATTGTCTATTAAGCATAATGAAATCTTCAGCTGCTTAAAAGCCAAGACGACCCTCCCTGCTCATAATATTGTTACAGGCAGAGCACAGATATTTCTGGAAGAGCAAGGAGATACCATTTGCTGGGAAGAAAACAGTCTGATGAAAGACAGCATGTTAGAGAGACGACCTGGAAAGACATCCCTAACCAGCTCAGCGACCTTGGGCGGCCACTTCACTTCATGATCTGTTAAGACTCAAGTTTTCTCACCTATAAATTGGGCTAAACCTGGCACATACAGTCTTGGTCAATGTTCATCCCTCCCCTTAGACCCATGGAGTTTGGGCAGTTTGTGTTTGAAAGTCTGTTCTCAGATCCCATTTAGGTTACAGAAAGGGTCCCCTGTGGTATAATACCTGCCATCAGAAGAGATGTATTTAAAAAAAACTTTTTTAATAAACCCACTGTTATCTGACTCACAGGACTGAGTAGAACTGCCCATAGGATTTCTAAGACTGTAAATTGTTACAGGAGCAAACAGCTTCATCTTCTCCCTCAGAGTGGCTGGTGTGTTTGAACCACCAACCTTGAGGCTAGCAGACCAACACTTAACCCACTTTACTACCTCAGGTCATAGAAGAGAGGCATAAACGCCCAGCCATGGATTCAATTCCGATCCTATAGGACAGAGTAGAACTATCCCTGTGGGTTTCCAAGATGGTAACTGCTTAAGGGAGTAAAAAGCCTCATCTTTCTCTCAAAGAATGGCTAGTGGTTTCAAACTGCAGACCTTGTGGTCAGCAACCCGATGTGTAACCACTATGCCATCAGGGCTCCTTGAAGGGAAGCACGGTTTTATTTAATTCCTAAGTAATATGCCAGGGTCATCACACAAACGTGGAGCGAGCTTTCCTAAAATCCACATGTAAGCAATAACAGAGATGCAACAGCCATCCCTGTCCCACCCCACAATCCTACCCACTGCCCTCCTCCGACACCCCCCTGCACCTCCATTCGAAGGCAGACACCCTAACCAATAGCTCTGGCCCTGGTCCCATTGGGACCCCACAATCATCCTGCAGGGAGTCTCCAGGGAAGCAATCTTCAGCAGCCCCCTCTCTTCCAAAATTGATCGCTAACTCCCTGATGCCCAGACTCGGGGCCTATAATTGGCCCATCTTAACTGTGGAGATGGAGACAGGAAAGGGGAACGCCGGAGGGGACCGAAATGCAAACCTTACCAGGTCTGCAGAGCCAGACCTTGATGTCCTCTGCTGAACCGTGGCCACCTGGACACCATGTGTGCTACACCCTCAGGGACGAGCAGTGGCCTTCCAGGACAAGCCCGGGAAGAGAGTAACAAAGGGATTCGATGGCGGTCACGTGCCTTGGACAGCGCTGCCATGCCCTGTGTCCTCCGTGCTCAGAGCTGCAGGGAAGGCATGCCTACTGCTGGCAGAGGCTCCGGACACAGCCACCAGGCAGGAGCTGCTCATTAAGGCAGCAGAAAGCACCTTCCCCACAGCACTGGGGCGCCGCTGCCAACCCACTTCTGCCAATTGGCCTAATCGGATCCTCTGCCCTCGGAAAGCAAGGGGTTGACCAAGGAAGCTCACTTCATGAGCTGGGTGGAGAAGGGGCCCCGGGAGCCTCCTGCTTACCCGGGTTTCCTGGCAAAGCAGAGTGGGAGTGAGGGATGGAACCCCACCACACCC